TGCTGAAGAAAGAAAGGGAATACTGAGCAGTGGTTAGAAAAGTGTTCAGTTTAATAGGGCAGGAATTTGACTCATCAAATGTGGATGTAGTGGAGAAGGAAAAGTGCTGTAGCTTTGCAACCAGTGATTAGTGTCCTGCATCCTAAAAGGCTCATGCAGCAACCTAAGGATGGTTGTTCTCTCCACCTAGGGATGTCTACAGAGTTGCAGTTCCTGCCTCATTGGTGGTACATCTGAGTGAATATGATGGAGATGTCATGATAAAGTCAGGAGCCTGGGACACAGGACTTGTCAGGCAATCAGGGGTACTTTGGCAAAGAGATTCACAACTTCTAGAGTTGCAAACAGCATGAGACAGCTTCTTCCCCTGACTCCCATTGGGAGGCTGTTGCAGAACCATTCTGGGATGGTGATTTACACAACCTAGGGCTTTAAAAATGAGGACGTTTCTGTGACAGGCAAAGTTGTGATCATGGACAAGCATTTGTTAAAATTCCTGTCCCTGACTGGAAGAGCTGGTAATCTGTAAAGGTGAATGGCAAACAATGTGAAAGTATGGAATACAGTCACATGCTTGCACACGTACACACTGTTGTGGACAGGTGCTCCTCCTTGTTATACATAGATAGGTAACCAGCACCAAAGGACTGGCTTGCTGTAGGTGTCACGGCAGAGATGGGCCTTGAGGAGAGCCAGGAAGTGAGAGAAGGTCCAGCCTGAACTAACACACTGCAGGCTAAACTAGCTCAAAGGAATCAGGCACACTAAGGTGCTGTGGGCCTGAGTATGAGAACAAAGGGGATGAGGGGACCTCACTGGCAGAGCAGAGATGGGGAAGCCTGCAAATGGACAAAACTTCGCCTGGGAGGTCAAAAAGTCTGATGTAGCTGCATTGCAACTGGGAGAGTAAGGAGAGGAATTCAGAGAGGAAAAGGCACGGACTGCAAAAGCAGCTTCAGGTCCTGAGCTGAGAGATGGGATGGGAGAACTGGGTACACAGGACAAAGCCAAGGAGAAGCAGATGGTGCTACGCAGCTTCTGAGCCTCAGGGCAATGGCATGTAAAGAATTTTGGAGAGCAGGGAGAATGGAGTGGATTTTGATGCAAAGATCATGACATTAGGTATTGCCCATGGATAGTAACAGATGAGCTCTGGCATGTCAAGCCATGACAGCTAAAGATCATTGCTCCCAGCTGTCGCTTCTGCCATGGGTTATCACAGACAGAAAACGTGACTGTGCCTAATTAATTTTCATAAATTGCCTTAGTATTGTTTCCAGCAGTGTCCTAAACTCCAAATGGCTGTACTGAGACACACTTTCTGCTCCAACCCCACCTTCAATGGCTGCCAATGCCAAGGCAAGCATGTAAGAACAGGGCAAGCTACAGTGTCCTACCACTACCTCCCAGCCTCACCCAAGGGAGTGCACCGCAGCCGAAGCGACCTTCAGCAATTCCAGCAAAGCTTCCAGAAACTGCACTGGGCTCTACAACCTCTTTTAAAGAGGACAGAACCACTACAAGAAGAGTCACCTGCATTCATCAGTCAATGTCCTAAGCTTGCTGCTTCCCATCCAAGATGCAGTGCAGAAATGAACAAAAGGAGACAGATTCCTGAGCAGCCATTAGTAACAACGTTCTAGTTAATGACAGTTCATATCAATTCTTCTTCAAAGCATTCTTAACCCTCAGTAGTAGTCACTGGTATGGTCACCTGACTAAGCTGAAAAGATTAATAAACAGTTGTCTTCCTTCTATATCCATTTCTCATCTATTAAGTGAAAGAACAAAGCAGAAAATATATAGCCAAAAAAATTTCTTAAATTTTCATTACATATTTTCTCCCTTTCTTCCTTTTGTTTCCTCAGCTTCACAGTCCTTCGTATGATATTTTCCATAAGATGGCACAATGTCAAGAAGAAACTGGGCCCTGGCAATATTTAGACCTCCCCTTTTATTTGTCCTGTTTACTTTTACTGCTCCTTTCCTCGCAGCAACCTCCTTAACAGGTCTGCATTAGATCCCATCCTAAAATTCTAACGTGAAAACTTCTAAAGACCTTCCATTCTTGGAGCATCACTTGCACTGCTCAGAGGACACTGATGAGGAACTGAGGAGGTGCTGCTGAACTGATAAGCAGTTCTAGGAGAAATGCTGGAGAAACAGGTCTGACTAGACATTTCTGGGTCTGAGCCTAAGCGAACAAG